AGAAGTGGCCTGTCTAATCTCTAAAGGAAGCTCGTTCCACAGTTTTGGAGCTGCTACAGCAAAAGCACGATCTCCTCTAAGTTTACGCCCAGTCCTGCGTATATTCAGGAGCAGCTGATCAGCTGACCTGAGAGAGCGGGTGGGTGTATAAGGCTGTAGCAGCTCAGAGAGATAAGATGGGGATAAGCCATGGAGAGCTTTAAAAGCAAATAAGAGAATTTTAAAATGAATCCTAAAAGAAATGGGCAGCCAGTGAAGTGAAGCTAAAAAAGGGCAAATGTGCTCAAACTTTCGAGTGCCAGTTAAAAGACGAGCTGCGGGATTTTGCACCCTCTGTAGATGAGTAATACATGATGTGCTGACCCCAATATAAAGTGCATTACAGTAATCCAGCCGAGTGCTAACAAAGGCGTGGATCACTGTCTCAATGCCTAACAATTTACATTCTATCTTGCCAAGTTTATGGGCCCAATCATTTGTTTTGGGTCCTAATATATAAAATTAAGGTTCTTTTGTATAATTTGGTCACATCATGTCAAAACTGGAGGCTAATTAGTTAATCACAAGTCTTTAGCCAATGAGTGTGCAGACCTCCTCATCACATATAGTTTTTGCAACCAAGATGGTGACAGCTGATGCACTTATCTTAAGATTTCAAAAAGGGACTTCAGAAAACTGTGAGATGTGTCAGTAGCTCTGTCCACCTTTTAAATTGTCTACAAAAGCAATATTCAGTTGTTCCTGTTCAAATGTTTATTAATGCAAATATCTATTTATCCATTGATGATCAGAATGACCTGCTGAGGTTTCAAACTGAGCATCAGAATGGAGAAGAAAAGTTATTCAAGTGACTCTCAATGTGTCAAAGCTGTTGGTGTAAAAAGAAGTCTGAATATTTCAGACCAGCTACTGATCTTACTGGTATTTTCCCACATAGGCAACTCTAGGGTTGGTTTTTCTAGTCCTTTTCTGACAAAGTGAATATAAATTTCACATAACGTAGTTACATACACTTACATTGTATCTATTCATCATGCTTTGCATATTCTAAATTCTCCCTTGCCAGCTGGAGCGGCAGTCTTTGACATGTCTACTTAGATTACCTTCGCTGGTAGCTTCTGTTCTGCCCACAGGAAGGTATCCAGGTGGTCTCCTTCATCTGCACCAGAACCAATAGACATTTGGGTTTGTTTGTTTTTTTTTTAATTAACAAGCTTCTCACTAATCTTCTGTGACACATCATGTTGACTGTCTGAATACACCATCTCATGTTTTTATTCACTGTCCTATACACTCATGGCTACAGGCTGCAGGCTACAGGAAAGGGTGGGGGCTGGGGTAAAGATTGTCCAGTGAAATCTCTTGTGACTCAGTTGTTTTTCTACTTCTATGGTACAGAATAATGTGCACATGACTATGGCTCAGGCAAAGTACATTGATACTTTAAATGCTTTGAATAATATAGGGTTTGGGAGTAATGATATATTAAATTGATATATAATCAAGACACAACCTAATATTAATAAATTGTTGTTGTAGTCTAAAATGTGTTCTTTTTTTTCATCACTATCAGAATCAATTAAGTTATAAAAACCTGCTGGAAAGGATGGATTTCATTAAGGTTCGGTCAGCTCACACTCCTTGCCGCTGACGTTCTCAGAGGCCAGTGAGTCCCAGAAGTTAGGCAAAAATACTAACGCTTCTATGGTCACCACTGTGTTCCCTGCGATCATAAAGACATGAAAAGAAGAATCAATGAATGGGTGAAAACCCCACTGCCCTTTCTGAAGTGTAACTCAGAAGATTTACTAGGAGCCTAGCTCAGATTTATTGTCTTGCTTTAACGTAATTGTTAGCCAGTCCTACAGTATCACATTTTGTGTGAAGGTTGTGTCATATTCAATTTTTTGAGACACTCATTCTATTGTGCATGGGGAAAATAACATGCTGTGATTTGTGGCCCTGTCTATTGCATGGTCAAAATGCTTTGTCTCTACTGTGTTTGGTAGTCAGGGCTCATTTAACAGAATATTATGAGACGGGCTTTGAGCTGTTGAAGCCACCTGATGCTACATGAAATAATCTTAGTGATTACTGTAACAAATTTTAACATTATTATTTACACAACATAGAATAATTTGAATAAGTTTATTAATTATATAATTAGCAGAAAAAAATTGTATGCTAA